TATATATATATATATTGTTCTAATAATAAGAAGGACGTATATGTGTGTGTGTGTGTGTGTATAGTAAGTATACATATATATATATATATATATATAATATATAGTATAATATAATATAATATATATATATATATATATATGCGCTTTTTGATATCTCATGTAACGCCTGCACTGCGGTGTGGTTTGGTAGTAGTCCTACACAGTGCCGTGTTGATAAGCTCTAGCTTACGCATGGCACAAGGGCAATAGAGTAACAAAAGGCTGTTTGTCCGCGAGTGAAATGCTGCTGCGGGTATATAGGAGCGACAAATGACCGGTATATAGGTGGTGGCTCGACATTAGTATGTATTTGAAAGGCACCTTAGAAACGCTGGCTACAACAGACGTGTGTGAAAGAAAAGGGGAAAGAAAAGGGGAAAGAAAAGGGAAAAGAAAAGGGGAAAGAAAAGGAAAAAGAAAAGGGAAAGAAAGGGAAAGAAAGGGAAAGAAAGGAGAAAGAAAAGGAGAAAAAAAGGGAAAAGAAAAGGGAAAAGAAAAGGGGAAAGAAAAGAGGGATTGGGGATATATCAGAGAATATGGGTATAGGGTTTTTATTCTATTTTTAGACGCGCTATAAATAGGTCACAACGTTTTGGCGCGCAGTGTCAAAGCTCACACTCATTTTATTTTTTAAATAATTACTATATAATAGAACATATATTTCACATACTAATATATATATATACATATACTTGTGTGGTTTTTGTCGCACTCTTACGTGCCACAAGCGAGCCCTTTCAAGCTATGAACAGATAGACAGTGATCGTTTAAGCCACTGAATATATGCAGCACACGCTATCGACAGAAAGCGCTGTTTGCGAATGTTCCATGGGCTTTGTAGGGCATGCACCGAGAGAGATCAGATTTGTAGGTCGGCAGTTATTTTGGACCCACTGGTACGACGGGCACATATTTGTCATAGAGTTTCGAATAGGAGCAAATTTCTTTTAAATATTAATAGTGTTAAACAGCACACACGATCAACAGACGACAATATATAAAATTTTACAATGACATTGTAGATCGCGAATTATATATACATATATATATATATATATATATATATATATATATATATATATGTGTGTGTGTGTGTGTGTGTGTGTGTGTGTGTGTGTGTGTGATTGTGTATGTGTGTATGTATGGGTGTATGTATGTATGTATGTATGTACGTATGTATGTATGTATGTATGTATGTATGTATGTATGTATGTGAATCAGCTATACTATTCGTAGCAATAGTATGTAATAATAAAAGCATAATCGTATTAATACTCTCTGATCTCTAGATATATTTAACCGCCACAGCAAAGTTTTTATCATGTCAGTGAGTGGGAAATGTAAATACCATTTATCTACGTCAATCATTAAACTAGTTGACTGATTCTATAATTAGAATTACCCAATACGCTGCTAACTTGACTGACTGTTTACCAATAGAATCTCTAGTTGATTCTTGTAGTACCTGATGGCATAGACAGAGTATCAAGTTCTATGAAGAGAGAAGAAGAAAAAAGTAAAAAATTCCGATTTCCGCCAAAAAAAATTAATTTGTTGAAAACTACACCCGGGGACTGGCCTGGGATCTGGGGTTGAAGCACACAGCCAAAAGAAAAAAGAGCCTGATTTTTTTATATACAATTTTAATTACGTTTAACGTATTTAAAACGAGTCTCACTCATACTAAATACTAATAGTAGTAGAGAGGGGAAATCTCGGGAGTCAAATCGAAGAGATTTGAGGAGATTTTTAAACGTTTTCTGTCCCCATCTGTCGTGACTGATGTATTGTGAGACCAGTCTTATTTCTTTCTTTAGCAACTACTGCCATGTGCCATGTGGTCTACTACTGTGATGTGTCAGCAATATATCAATGACGCCGTTAAATTTAGAAGGCTATGTATGTAGTACAAATGTGTACCTGTGCATAGTCATATGCTCTCGTTTGTACATGCACAATCACAAAGGTATCCGCATGCAAGTATTAAAATACTCTTGTTTGTTGCAGTATAAGTGGTTTAAAATACGCGAAAACAAGATATATATGTCCTGCCAGCGAGGATAGCTGACGCTGTGCATATTGTCGTTGAAGAGTCATCTGCACCCAACACCTGTAGCAATAGCTTAGTTTCCATGGCAACTACAATGTATACCATTTGCAAGGGTCCCTTCAGTAGACGGATAATAGGATTTGCTAGAGATCTGCCGAGATTGGATACATCTTTAACCCGCAGGTGTGTGCAGAGGTACGGTTGGTATCGAATAGCAAATACTGAACGAAATCAACGATGTGATACTTGTACATTCAGAGAAGGCCCTAGTTTTTTAATTGCATGCATATATAGCACTTATATGTTTGCGTCTTTCTGTACAATTATTGTATATATTTATATATGTGTGTGTGTGTGTGTGAGTGAGTGTGTTTTCGTCGTGTGTATGTGTTTGTATATATATATATATATATATATATGCATGTATGTATGTATGTATGTATATTTATATTTACATATATATATATATGTTTATATATGTATGTATGTATATATATGCGTGTATGTGTGTGTGTTTCAAATATCAT